AATCAGAAAAAAGCACCCTAGGCTACATCCCTTACTAGGTAACCTTGGACAAGCTACTTAATGGCTCTGTTTGCCTAGCAAAAAGTAGAGTTCAATGAGTAATCGTAGTGAGTAGACTGTCAAGAGTTTGAAAAGTCATATACTGTCTTTGGATTTTTTATTTATCCTAGAGAGGAGAGCCTTCAGATGAGAAGAAACATAATATGATCTATAGTGCTGGCCACCTTGTGGTTTAAGGTACTGACCTAGATAAAATTATGATGAGAACTTGAGCTGAGACTGTGATTTTTGGTAATAGAATATAGATTTAACTAGAGAATAAAACCACAAACAGTTGGATTTGGAAGTTTAGTAACTGAGAGTATTGAAAGTGGCTCCTTGCTTTTAAATTCGAGTTAACTGAGTTGATGATTGTGCCATAGAGATGGGGAATACTCACTTAAGGCAGCAAGAGGACATAGTTGGGGAAGGGTAAGGAGTTTGTCTTGTTCTCTTACTGTCTTAACAAGGTACTTGAGACTAAATAATTTGTAAAGAAAAGAGATTTATTTTGCTCATGATTCTGGTGACTGGAAAGTCCAAAAGCCATGCCACTGGCATCTACTCAACTCTGGGGAGGATTGCATGCTACTTCACCCCATGGTGGGAAAATGGAAAGGCCTGCCGAAAGAGAAACATACTGGCAGCTGGCTTACTTTCTTTCAGCCTGATCTCAGGTTAGTTGACAATGCACACTAATCAAGAGCTAGAGGGAATCCGTCTATCTATTCATAAAAGATCTGTCCCCAAGTCCCAGACACCACCTACCTGCCACATTGAGTGTCCAGTTTCATAAATTTGAGTGAGGACACTCAAACCACAACAGAGCTGGATTACTTCAGTCTTGATTTTAAGGTGGTTGAAAGGAGTCCAGGAAGTTTGAGTTTATTTAGTTGAATTCCAGAGAAAAGGTGGGAGTTAAACTTGGATCTGACTATAAGGTTTTTAAATTTTCTTAGAGACAGATTTTTTTTAATTTTTATTTATTTATTTATTTTTTGCTATAGGGCGTGTGTACTCACTGGAGAGACAGAGATCAACAGACAAAAAGCGAGAAATCACCCCCCAGGGGGGGATGGCCACGCTGCAGTCCCATCTCCTCTCGGGATTTTGGGCATGCACTCACACGCACCCAGCATGAGTTTGAAGCTGCCAGTTCTAATACTTGAACCACAGTTGACCAACCATATAGGAGTCCAGTGATGTAACCATTACTCCATCTGCTGGCCCCCCTGACTTTTAAGTTTTTTAAGTTAAGACTTACACTTAGTTTTGTATCATCACCTACCCCCAACATATATGTGATAGTAATATAATGGTCGTTTCCTACAAATAGTTATTAATACAATTCAGTATATTCGTTAATATAACTCAAACCATGTTAAAAGTTCATTATCTACTGACTTTCTAATAGATTTGTGAAATGTAATTGTTTTGTCAAATGTTAACATGAGAATAGATGTCACTTATCATTTATGTCACTTCTGTCTTTGCTTATTATTTTAGAGAGATTTGGGGAAAGGGATTTATAGTGTATATTGTCATCTCCCTTTATTGGTTATGTCCACTTCATTTGATTGCTGTTTTATTTGAATGCTCTTTAAGAAAAGATGGAAATTTATAGTAGGCTCAGCAAGGAAGAAGTCAACCCTAAGAATAATACAGTTCAAATAGTATTTCATCCTTTAATTGTGACTAGTCTTAGTTGCAGATACCTGAAATTGCCTTGAAATGTGTAAGAGCAACTTCTAAATGTGTTAAAGTATACTTGCTAAATAATAAAATGGAGGGGCCCACAGATAGTGTAGCCAACCACAGTTTAAGCCCCAGACAGGGTGGTTTCAAACTCACACTGGGCACGTGTGTGTGCATGCCCAAGATCCCAGCAGAAGAAGGAATTGAAACGGTGGCCATCTTCCCTGGGTTGGTGGTTTACATTCTTCATGCCTCACTTAAGGGCTACTTCTCTGAGAAACCTAACTTTGATTCTCAAATTCTCATAAGCAGACCCTTTCCCAAGTGTATCTTGGAGATTTAGTATTTACTGCCATTTTAACAATTATGTATAACTGTTCAGCCTCTTGAGGAAGGATTGTTTTCTTTTCATCTTACCGACTTACAGTAGAGCTTAATAAATATTATCAAAGACTGATTCTAAGTATCAGTCATTGTCCTGGAATTTTATTGGTATATACAAAAGAAAACTAATTCCTAAATTCAGTAAAAACTAATAATCCAATGAGAAGTGGAATTTAAATAGAAAGTTAAATATAAGCCATTAAAAATGAAATATATGACCCAACTATAGTGGCTTAGATGGTAAGATGCCACCACAAGATACTGGGACTACATGGGAGGCCCTGGTTCAGATCCCGGATTGACCTGAATATGCCAGGTATATATGACTGTGGTTGTGGCTGACTAGGGCAAGAATTAATATAGTGAGACTATCAAGAGTGTGTGTGTCTGTGTCTCTCAAGAAATAAACTTTAAAATATATATATATTAGAAAACTGCAAGTGGAGATGTGTTCTCAAGACCAAATTGTAAATAAGATAGTAATAAAAGAAAAAAATACTTGTAAAAATGCATATTCTTTGATGCATTCAATTAAGAACCAAAATAAATTCTGGTTCCAAAATAGGTGTTTCTTTAGGCAGCATAAAGTTCTGAAGTTTTGAGGCTATGTATTACAATATTAATAATAGCAAATGGAGAACATTTTTATTATTTGTGAAAAAGCTAATTTCAAGTGTTCATATTTATTGGGACTGGCAGGTGGCATGGTAGTTAGGGGCACTGGACTCCCCACATGGCCAACTGCAGTTCGAGTGCTGGACCTGGCAACTTTCTCTGTCTCTTTCTCTCACTCTGTCCCTCTCTGCTCAAATTGAAATAAGTAAATAAATCAATTAAATAAATAAATGAAGTTAAATTAAATAATTCTTTTTTAAAAAGTGTTCTTCATTCTATGTCAGAGTAAAACTAGGTCACTCATTGACACTTTATAGTTAGGTTGTCTTAGAATATTACCACATTCGGTTAAAAAAATAAATATATTATCACTCAGAGATCCTACTACAGTGCCAGGTACCTTGAAGACATTCAAAAATTCTTCTAAAATAATGAATTTTTATGTGAAGAGACTATTTGGGAGCTAGATTACTTAAAGGAAGTGTAAAATATTGGGTCACCAAGAAAGTCATGACTCATTTTTGCATAGGAAAATACATCAGTATAACAATGATTTTCCCACTGACCTAATAATTAAATGTGTAATTTTAAGACTCCTAAATATTTAGCAAATGAGTTGGGTTTTTTTTTTCCCTCTTGATCAGAGGATTTTACTTTCTTTCCCCTGCACTGAGTGTTTTTTCTTTTTCTTTAGTTAGAGACCCCATGTATACGTCTCAACTGGGAAAAGATGAACAACTTGGGAAGAGGAAAGAAAATACTTTTAAAAAGGGACTAGCAGTTGGTGTAATGGCTATGTCGCTGGACTCCCATGAAGTCAACCACGGGTCAAGTCCCAGACCTGGTGGCTTAAACTCATGCCTAGCACATGTGCATATGTGCCCAAGATCCTGAGAGGAGAATGAAGGAGAAGGGATTGTGGTGTGGCCATCCCTCCTAAGGGGTGATTTCTCAATTTCTGTCTCTCTGTCTGTCTCTTTCTGGCGGGCTCATGCACCCTATAACAAAAACCTCTCCAGAAAAAAAAAAAAAGAAAGAAAGAAAAAAAATATTAAAAAAAAAAAAAAGAATGGATATGGTAGTTAAGACACTGGATCCCATATGGCCAACTAAAGTTTGAGTCCCAGACCAAGAGCTTGAAAAACATGCCGGGCACTTGTGCATGTGTGCCCCAAATCCCGAGAGGACAGTGGGAAAGGGGATTGCAGCATGGTCACCCTCCTGAGAGTGTTTTCTCATTTTCCTTCCCTTGTCTCCCTCCAGCCAGTGTACACATCCTGGAGCCAGAAAACTACAAAAAAACTAATAAAAAATTTTAAAAAGTTTACAGCAACATTATTCATGGTAGCTAAAAAACAGCAACATTCCTACTGTCCATCAACTGAGAACTGAATAAACAAAATATGATATATTCATACAATACTCAGCCATTAAAAAAAGATATTAAATAGAATCTAGCAAGACTTTGACTATATTTATACAACAGCTTAGATTCAGTGTCATAAAACTAAATTTTATGTCCTTAAAAATAGTAGTAAAAATTGAGCCCATTATTTTACCTGTTGTTCTAAAACATGTATTAGTGTCAAGTCTAAATTATGGATTAGAAAACTAAGGAACTGAGCAACTATTTTCAAATTTTTGTGTATCTGTTCAGTTTATCTGTTGCAGCCTTGATTACATACTCATGGTTTATATTTCCTATTTTAATTTTTTCCCCAAATAGTCATATTTCTGGTATGATTAAAACAATTCACCTTTATTTAAATTATTTTTCTCTATTAAAATCACATGATCCATTATAATTTTACTAATAAATATCCCAAAACACCTAAGACAATTTATGATACTTACTTTACAAACCCTTTTAGTTAATGGTTCCTAATCTTTTTTGAATCAATGACTGTTATTTCAGTTTAATATTCTTTTTCTAGAGGAAAGGTATGTATGCAAAATTTGACAGAACATTTTATTAATTATTTCTCTTGAATCTTAAGTTATGAACTTTTGCTTTGTAGTATATATTCATATATCCTGTATTACAAATTTAATATATTGTGTCCTTTTAGAAGCATCAGAGGATATTCTCCTAAAGTAGACTTTCTGTGATACTGATTCTACAACACTATAGCAGTTTCTATATTTCTATTGTGTTACATAACCATAAATCCGAAATAATTTTGTCTGAGTCATTTGAAGTATTTGCCGTATGAGCTCTATTTTTCTGACAATCATTTTGATCAACAATGGATTTTCTTTTATTTCAGATTCTGAAGAGGCTCAGTCTGTAAATCCTTCTAGTGTTGATGAAAACATAGACTCTGAAACAGAGAAAGACTCTCTCATCTGTGAAAGTAAACAAATACTTCCCTGTAAAGCACCTCTTCCATCTGCCCTTGATGAGTATGAGTTCAAAGATGACGATGATGAAGAAATAAATAAAATGATTGATGACAGGCATATTCTTAGGAAAGAACAACGAAAAGAAAATGAATCTGAAGCAGAAAAGAATAGTTTATTTGTAAAACAAGAGAAAGCCTTCTATTCTAAATCATTTAAAAGTAAAAAACAGAAGCCTTCCCGGGTTTTGTATTCAAGTACTGAAAGTTCTGATGATGAAGTTCTTCAGAACAAAAAAGTTTCTGCTCCATGTTCTGCTCCTGAAACATCAAATTCTGATGCACAAACCAAAAAGGAGTATGTAGTTTCAAGTGAACACAAACAGAAAGGCAAAGTTAAAAGAAAATTAAAAAACCAAAACAAAAATAAAGAGAACCAAGAGCTGAAGCAAGAAAAAGAGGGGAAAGAAAATACCAGAGTAGCAAACTTGACAGTTAATACTGCACAAGATTGTTCAGAAAAGACCAGAGAGGAGGGAAATTTTAGGAAATCTTTTAGCCCTAAAGATGATACTTCATTGCATTTATTTCACATTTCAACTGGTAAATCTCCCAAACATTCTTGTGGTTTAAGTGAAAAACAGTCAACCTCACTAAAACAAGAACATGCTAAAACTTGTTTATCACCAGGAAGTTCTGAAATGTCATTACAACCTGACCTTGTTCGGTTTGATAATGCAGAATCCGAATTCTTGCCTGAAAGTTCAAGTGTAAAATCTTGTAAACATAAGGAAAAAAACAAACATCAGAAAGATTTCCACTTAGAATTTGGTGAAAAATCAAATGCCAAAGTTAAAGATGAAGAACATAGTCCAACATTTGAAAATTCAGAATGTACCCTTAAAAAAATGGATAAAGAGGGTAAAACTTTAAAAAAACATAAATTAAAACATAAAGAACGAGAAAAAGAAAAGCATAAAAAAGAAATCGAAGGTGAAAAGGAAAAATATAAAAATAAAGATGGTGTTAAAGAACTACAGAGAAGTGTGGAATTTGATAGAGAATTTTGGAAAGAGAACTTTTTTAAAAGTGATGAAACTGAGGACCTATTTCTAAATATGGAACATGAGTCCCTAATGTTAGGGAAAAAATCAAAGTTGGAAAAAAACATAAAAGATGATAAATCAGCCAAAGAAAAGCATATCTCAAAAGAGAGAAACTTTAGAGAAGAACGAGAAAAGATTAAAAAGGAAAATGAGAAATCTTTCAGGGAAGAAAAACTTAAAGATCTCAAAGAAGAAAGAGAGAATGTACCCACAGATAAAGAACTAGAACTCAGTTCTTTGGGTGTAAGTGCCAATGAGGACTCTATCGTGGTACATTCAGTGGAAAAGGAAATAGACATTGAAAAACAAGAAAAGCATATAAAAGAAAGTAAGGAAAGATCCGAAAAGCGATTCCAAATTAAAGAAAAAGACATTGAGAAGACTGAAAGGAAAAACTGTGAAAAAGAGAAAAAGATAAAACATGAGCATAAGTCAGAAAAAGACAAATTAGAGCTTAGTGAATGTACTGACAGAATGAAAGAAAAGGACAAGCTATATTCACATCACACAGAAAAATGCCATAAGGAAGGTGAGAAGATCAAAAACATTACTATTATTAAAAAAACTGATGACCGAGATAAAAGTAGAGAAAAGATGGACAGAAAACATGACAAAGAAAAACCTGAAAGAGAAAGACATCTAGTGGAAAGTAAAGAAAAGCACTTGACAGAGAAAAGAAATAAATCAGATAATATTGAGTATATTAAATCAGAAAAAGGCAAAAATAAAGAAAAAGACAGGGAGGTAGATAAAAAGGAAAAATCTAGAGATAAAGAAAGTGTAAATATAACTAACTCCAAACACTTACAGGAAGAAAAAAAGTCGAGTATAGTAGAGAGTTGTAAAGCACAACATGAAAAAACCTTATCCCTTAAAGAAAAAACAAAAGATGAACCCTTGAAAATTCCAGATGGAAAAGAGAAAGATAAAAAAGATAAAGATATAGATAGATACAAAGAACGAGACAAACATAAAGATAAAACCCAACCAAATAGTTTACTCAAACTAAAATCTGAAGCAGATAAGCCTAAACCTAAGTCATCACCAGCATCAAAAGATGCTCGCCCTAAAGAAAAGAGGTTAGTGAATGATGATTTAATGCAGACTAGTTTTGAACGAATGCTAAGCCTTAAAGACCTAGAAATAGAACAGTGGCATAAAAAACATAAGGAAAAAATTAAGCAAAAAGAAAAGGAACGATTGAGAAATCGCAGTTGTTTAGAACTTAAGGTAAAAGATAAAGAAAAAAAACATGCACTAACTGAATCCAAAAATAAAGAACTTACTAGGTCAAAGAGTTCAGAGTTGACTGATGCTTATAACAAGGAGAAAGTGTCTAAAGATGCTGTAAGTAATAGATCACAATCTGTCGACACCAAAAATACAGTGAATTTAGGGAAATCATCATTTGTCTCAGATAATAGCGTAAATAGGTCTCCTAGATCAGAAAGTGAGAAACCAGGTCTTAGCTCCAGATCTGTGTCCATGATTTCTGTTGCTAGTTCAGAAGATTCTTGCCATACTACAGTGACTACCCCAAGGCCTCCAGTTGAGTATGATTCTGACTTTATGTTAGAGGGTTCAGAGTCCCAAATGTCCTTTTCCCAGTCACCTTTTTTGCCAGTTGCTAAATCTCCTGCCCTTCATGAAAGGGAATTGGATAGCTTAGCTGAACTACCAGAGCGTATTAAACCACAGTATGCAAGCAGACTTCCAACATCCCATCTCAGGTCGTCATCTGTAGAAGATGTTAAATTAATTATAAATGAGGGGAGACCTGCTGTAGAAGTGCGAAGATGTAGCATGCCATCTGTCATTTGTGAACATACAAAGCAGTTCCAAACCATAGCAGAAGAAAGCAATCAAGGTAGCTACTTAGCTGTGCCAAGAGATTTTTGTTCTTCTCCAAAACCTGAGGTATCCTTAAATGTGCCTGAAAGAGACCTTTCAAATGTGTCTACCATACATTCCAGTTTTGCAGCCTCTCCAACTAGATCTGTGAACAGCAAATACATTTCAGCTGATCTAAATGTTATCAGGAGTACTGCTGCAATGGGCACTTTAGTGGACAGTCCTGTGCCTTTAGAGTCATCTAATCAAGTTGGTGTTATCCAAAATAAATCATGGGAAATTCCTGTTGATAGGCTGGAGTCATTAAGCACCAGTGACTTTATCTGCCCTAATTCTAGTACACCAGATCAAGATTCCTCCATTCAAGGTGTTTGTAATTCTGAAAACAAAATGTTGAAGGAGCAGAATGCTGATTTTTTGTCCCTGCCCCAGACTGAACTGCCAGGAAATTCCTGTGCTCAGGATCCAGCATCCTTTCTGCCTTCACAGCAACCTTGCTCTTTTCCCAGCCAGTCACTTTCAGATGCTGAATCTATTTCTAAACATATGTCTTTGTCGTATGTTGTCAATCAAGAACCAGTTACTTTGCAACAGAAAAACGCAGTTCAGATTGTCAGTTCTGTTTTAGATACTGATACTGAATCTATAAAAGATACAGAAAATACTTTTGTCCTAGCAGACGTTCAAAAGACAGATACCTTTGTCCCACTATACTCTGAAAGCACTGTTCAAGAACCATCACCAAGCTTTGATAAGACTGACACTTTACAATCAGAAAAGGATTTTAATGGAAGTGATGCCTCTTCCCAGCTAAATACACATTATTCATTTAGTAAGGTAACTTATAAGTCTTCCAACAGCCATGAAGTTGAGAATAACACAACAGATATTCAGGTTATTTCACGTGAAAGAGAAGGCAAATTGGAAAGTATGGTTTTAACTCATTTGAGTAAGTGTGATTCCGATTTATGTGAAATTAATGTGGTGGTGCCAAAAGAAAACCTAAATGAACAAGATAATCCAAAACTTTGTCCTGAAAGTGAAAAATGTTTGCTTTCCATCGAAGATGATGAATCTCAGCAGAGCACTTTATCAAGTCTGGAAAACCATTCACAGCAGTCAGCTCAACCAGAAATGCATAAATATAGCCAGTTGGTTAAAGTAGAATTAGAAGAAAATACTGAAGATGATAAAATTGAAAATCAAATTCCTCAAAGACTGACTAGAAACAAAGCAAATACAATGGCAAATCAGAGCAAACAGATTCTTGCTGGCTGTGCAGTGTTAACCGAAAAAGACAGTGAATCTTCATCTCCTAGAGGAAGAATAAGATTAACTGAAGAAGATGATCCTCAAATTCACCATCCACGGAAAAGGAAAGTGTCACGTGTACCTCAGCCTGTGCAAGTGAGTCCGTCTTTACTACAAGCGAAAGAGAAAACTCAGCAATCTCTGGCAGCCATTGTAGATTCTCTGAAGCTAGATGAGATTCAGCCATACAGTTCAGAGAGAGCAAATCCATATTTTGAATATTTGCACATAAGAAAAAAAATTGAAGAAAAGCGCAAATTATTGTGTAGTGTTATTCCTCAAGCACCTCAGTATTATGATGAATATGTAACATTTAATGGATCATATCTCCTGGATGGAAATCCCTTAAGCAAGATTTGTATTCCCACAGTAAGTAACATCATCACTTAATATACATCTGCAGTGTTATCAAGTAGAAGTATGATGCAAGTCACATAATATAATTTTAAATTTTTCAGTAGCCACATTTTAAAAATGAAAAAGAAACAGGTAAGGGGCCAGCAGATGGCATAGCAATTACGTCTCTGGACTCCCACATGGCCAACCATGGTTTGAGTTCTGGACCCAGTGGCTTGAAAATCATGCCAGGTGCACGTGCATTCATGCCCAAGATCCTGGGGAGGAGGATGGAAGAGAAGGGATTGCAGTGTGCCCATCCCCCTTGGGGGGGGGTGAGTTCTTTACCTCTCACTGTCTGTCTGTCTCTCACTCTGGCGAGTGTACATGCCCTAAAGCAAAAGAAACCTCTTTTTAAAAAAAAAAAAAAATGAACCAGCAGGTAGCATAATGTTTATGTCGCTGGACTCCCACATAGTCAACCGCGGTTCCCAGACCTGTTGATTAAAACTCAGGCAGGGTGCACATACATGTGTGCCAAAAAATCCCAAGAAGAGAATGGCTAAGAAGGTATTGTGACGTAGCCATCCCCTTGTGTGGAGGGCGCTGCATTGGGTGATCTATACGGGAGCCATTTTGAGAGCTATCCGCCATCTTGGGAAACCTTTGGGTTTCACTTCCTCATCGAGCAAACCTTTTCTCAGAAATCATATGACCAACCGTTCTTCCTGCAGGGCAGATAGGTTTCTAGGCAACGAGACCCTTGGAGGGTGATTTTTTGCTTGCTTTCTGTCTCTCCAGCGAGTGCATATATGTTATAGCAAAAATGTCTCTTAAAAAGGGGGGGAAGAGTTAAGTAATAAATATTTAGCCCGGTACATCAAAAATGCTATTTCAACATATAATTAATATAGAAAAATTGAGATGTTTTACTACTTTAATATTGTAGTCATTGAAATCTGATGAGGAGCCAGCCAGTGGTATCAGATGGGCACCATTTCAGAAAGTGCTCAATATCCAGCCAGTTAAGGTGCCCGGATCCCATAGCCAACTGCATGGTTCAAGTCCTGGACCCAGTGACTTGAAAAACACTCCAGAGGGGCCAGCTGGTGACTTGGTGGTTAAAGATATCGGACTCCCACGTGACTGACTGTGGTTCAAGTCTGGGACCTAGCAGCTTGTTTTCTCACTTTCTCTTTCTCTCTCTCTCTGTCTTTCTCTGCTCAAATTTAATAATAGTAAATAAAATAAGTATTTTAAAAAAGAAAAACATTCCAGACACGTTTGTGTATGCTCCCAAAATCCCAAGAGGAGAATGGAGAAGAAGGGATTATGTGGTGGCCATCCTTCCTAGGGATGGGAGGGTGCTTTCCCACTTACCCTCTCTCTCTCCCCTGAGAGCACACATGTGCTACAGCAAAATTTTAAAAAGAAAAATCTGGTATGTTTACAGCATGTCTCAGTTCAGACTAGCACCATTTCAGAAAGTCCTCAATAACCATATGTAGCTAGTGGCTCCATAATTGGATAACACAGGTCTGTGGGTTGTGTGTGTGTGTGTGGTTTTTTCTCTTACCAGCTTTTCCTTTTGTTTCTGAAAAGGTATGCTTTTATTTGAAGGCTAGTGCATCTATTTATGCTTTTGAGCCCATTCCTTCCAAACTTCTCTGGAAACTTCCTGTATTAAAATGCTGTTTTTACTAGCTTATTTTTTTTTTCACTTTCTCCCCACCATTGGATTTTTACCTACCACTCAGAATATATTTGGGTCTTCTCAATCTTAGAGAGAAAAAGTCGCCCCTTGTTATGCCAGCTTGTCGAGATCAGCCTGCCTTTCTCTCCTTCACTGCCACACTTTGGAAAGGAGTCTGTGCATAATGGTCTCTCCATCTCAACTTCCTATTTATGTCTTACCCATTATGCACTGGCACTTATCACCTGTGAGCTCATAATGGTCATATTCATTGGCCTTTTCACTTTTTCCAGTTTGATCTGTTAAATTTGATACTATGAGTATCTGGCTCTTCATAAAATCCTCCCCTTCCTGGTTTTTTAATTATGATGCTTTCTTCTGGTTCCTCTGGCTCACTAATACTTTTCACTCTCTTTCAGTGGTTCCTTTTTCCACCCACTTGTCAAACATGAGTCCTCTAGTGATCCATTCTTCAGTCAGCTTGTTCTGTGTGTTCTCCAAATGTGGAAATGTAGAATCTGTTTCTGTGATTTCAGGAGTCTTCCAGGCACCCTCTAGTCCCCCAAAATTCTTAACCACATCGTCTCTGTTAACCTCCAGAATTGAATATAGGTGTCCTCTGGCCATCATCATCTAAATGTTCTTCAGACACCTTGTCATAGATTGGTCCCCTCAGCAAGCAGATTGTAAGGTTGTGTGCAAGAGATTTATTGGTGAGTGCCATCAGGAATAAGTAAGTTTATGAGAGAAACAACTCAGGGAGGGAGTATGCCTTGGCTATTTTTTTTTTATATAATTATTTACCTTTATTTTTAATTTGACCAGAGAGGGACAGAGAGAGAGATTGAGAAAGAAAGTGAGAAAGCAAGCCACCAGGTCCAGGATTTGAACCATAGTCAGCCACCTGCCAGCCACTACAAGCTAATTCTTAGAGAACTTCAGTGAGAGTTGTAGGCTACCAGCACTCCCAGTAACTGGGGGTGAATGCCTCATTCCTGCACCAAGACCTTAAACTTAACATATACCTAAGGAATTATTTAGTCCTTACTTCCTCAGTAACAAATTTGCATTCATTAGTGATGACACCTATGTAGTAAATGATAAGTCACCAAATTCTGACTATACTACCTTAGCTCAACAGTGAGCATCATAATTGCCATATCCTTTGGCCTCTTTTCATTGGCTATCTCAGAACTGTTTTCAAAATATGTACCTAATCTATGGACTGCCTTTCTTTAAAACCCTCATTATATCTTATTTAGATGATTGGAGCAACTTTTAAGTTTTTATTTTGGTCTCTTTTGGCTGGAGTATTCTGTTTTTGTTATATTTCTGTTTTATTATTTTCTTTTATTGTGAGAGAGTGCATTCACTCACCAGAGAAAAAGAAAGCATTCCCCAGTGAGACAAGTTATGCTGCAATCCTTTTCCCTCTATTTCTTTGTCCTATCAGGACTTTGGGGACACACATGCACACACTTTATGTGTTTTCCAAGTTACTGGGGCTAGAATTTGAACCACAGTTGGCCATGTGGGATCTGGATCTCCCTACCAGTGAGCCACTAGAAACTGGCCCAGTATTTCTATTCATTTTATAATTATAAGCCGTTTCTTTATTTTAATACCTAAGCTGTGATTCACTGACTTCCCAGTACTTACAGCTTAAAAACTAATTCTTAAGTGTGGCATAAGCGTACATTTCACAATTTGACCATAGTCTACCTCTCTTTTTCAGTACTTGCAAAGTCACAGTATCTCAGCTGAAACTGAATTTACTCTTCTGCAGAAATCTCTCATTCATCACCTTGATACTTGTGCCATGCCATTCCTTTTACCTGAGCTATTCTCTCAAGACCCCCTTCATCTTTTTCCATGCCTTTGTTCCATAGTGAGGTCACCTCTGCGGGAAGCCTTGCCAAAGCAGAACTGTTTGTCCTTACATCTTTCCTGCAATATAGTATTTAACCATTTACGTATCAGGATCCTTTAACCACTGAGCCAACAGACCAACCCAATATTTTTGTTTCTTTTGAAACAATAAAAAGCTGTTTCCTTATTTGAGTAACCTATGCTATGATTAGCTGGCTTCCCATTGCTTACAGCTTAAAAAAAAAATTTTTTTTTTGAGAGTTTTACTATAGGGTGTGCACTTGGCAGAGAGACTAGAAGCAAGAAATCATACACAGACACCCCAGAAATGGCCATGCCACAATCCCTTCTCCTCCATTCTCCTCTTGGGATTTTGGGCACACATGTGCCCAGCGAGTTTTTTAAGCTGCCCAGTCCAGGACTCAAACCACAGTCGACTGAGGAAGTCCAGTAATGTAACCATTACACCATCTGCTGACCCCAAAATTTAAATCTTAAGTATGCATAATTGTGTGTGCATAAGATTGCATACTCTACCTCTGAGCTGTAATCTTATTTAAGGGCTAAAATATTGTCTTATGGAATGAGTCCCAGCTCAGCCATGGTGGCACATGGTACTGAGATGCTGTGCTCCTCAGGCTGGGACTGTGTGGAAGACCCAGGTTCAGTTTTGGTCCAATCTAAAGACTGGGTGCAGTGGCACATACCTGTAATCCCAGGGACTCAGAGGCTAAACCAGGAGGTTTCTGGCACAGCAAGATTTTTTTTTTTTTTTTAAAGGGAAGGAATGTGTCCCACATTATGTGTAGCCCTAAATATACTAGTGATGTCTATAACCATGTTTCTAGTTACTTATCTCTGGAATGTCCCACAAAATCCTTAAAATCATTATGTCTAATGCCAAACACGTTTATCTAATCTCAAAAGTGTTCTTTTTGCGGGACCAGCAGTTAGTGTAATGGCTTTGTTGCTGGACTTCCATGTAATCAACTGCAGTTCAAGTCCCGGACCCAGTGGCTTAAACTCATGCTGGATGCGTGTGCGTGCATGCCCAAGATCCTGAGAGGAGAATGGAGGAGAAGGGATTGTGGTGTGGCCATCCCCCCCAAGGAGGGGGGGAGGGTGATTTCTCACTTTCTTTCTGGCAAGCGCATGTGCCTTATAGCAAAAAAAAAAAAAAAAGGGTTCTTTTTGCCATCTCTGCTTTAGTTAATATCCTGTCTATAATCTTTTCCTCTCTGTCCTCACGTATCAGTCACTAAGTCTTACTGATTTATCTCAATTCTTTTTCCTTCCTCTTTATTATCACTGCCATGCAAAGACTTTATGAGTTTCTTAGACAATTCACTCAAATATATGGCATTGCATATTTAAATATATTGCAAATGCAGATAATTTTGATTATGCACTAACAATTGTTCTAGTAAATAAATTTCTAGAAGGTAAGCAAAACAAATGTTCTAAATTGCTG